TAGAATAGAATAGAATAGAATAGAATAGAATAGAATAGAATAGAATAGAATAGAATAGAATAGAATAGCTTTATTGCCCAAAGTGTGATTGGACACACAAGGAATTTTTCTTTGTGATCTTATTGTCTTTGTGATCTTATTGTGATAAAGTATATCACCATAAACAAGGGGGGGGAGGCATTGATTTGACAATTACAGTGTCTGTGTTTTCTCTAGAAAATCAATCAGAATAGAATAGAGCTGGAAGGGACCTTCAAAATCTTCTAGTCCAACCATCTGCTCAAGCAGGAGATTGGGATTCAACTGGTGATTGGGATTCAGATGGGTAGGATTCAACTGGTGTAACAACCAGTTCGGTGTGCATGCACAAATGAGGTGCGGCAATTTGCTGTGCTGCGCAAATCAGCTGAGCTGCAAAACATGGAAATAAAGGACAGGCTAGGGCAGGGGTCTCCAACCTTGGCAACTTTAAGACTTGTGAACTTGTGAATTCTGGGAGTTGACGCCCACAAGTCTTAAAGTTGCCAAGGTTGGAGATCCCTGGACTAGGGCAGGGGCAGGTGGGTGGGGGTCAAATGATTGCCGGAACTACTGGTTTGCCCAAACCAGTCTGAACTGATAGAATCCCACACCTGAGGAGACCCTATACAATTTGAGAGAAGTGGCTGTCCAGTCTCTTTTTAAAAACCTCCAGTGATGAAGCACCCACAAATTCTGAAGGCAAGCTGTTCTAATGGTTAATTGTTCTCACTGTTAGGAAGTTTCTCCTTAATTCCAACTTGTTTCTCTCCTTGATTAGTTTCTATCCATTGTTGCCTTCTGATGCTTTGGAAAATAAGTTGACCCTTCCCCCCTTTCTTCTTTGTGGTTGTTCCTCAAATACTGGGAAACTGCTATCACTTCAGTCCTTCTTTTCTTCAGACTGGCCATACCCAGTTCCTGCAACCATTCTTCATATATTTTAGTCTCCAGGCCTTTAATCATCTTACTTGCTCTTCTCTGCACTTTTTCCAAAGTCTCAATATTTTTTTTGTGATGAGGATGCTGTATTCCAGGTGTGGTCTTACTAAGATTTTATAAAGCAATACTAATATTTCACGTGATTTTGAATCTATGCCTCTATTTATACAACCAAGGATTGTATTCACTTTTTTGGCTCTATTAGCTTTTTTGGCTGATTGGAATGGGCTTATTCTTCCAATGAAGGGGGTTTCTGAAGGCACCATATACTGTGGTAGTTTTTAATGCAGTATGTAAGTAATGCTAATTACAATAGGAGAGAATATATGCAATTCTTCAGGAATTAAAATATGAAACTCACCAATATCACTAGCTGAGGCTCACCAGTAACTGACTTCAGACAACACAAGGCCTTGGTTTTACCAGTGAGTCCCATAAAGATGGGTCGGTTTCTAAAATCTAAGTTGTCATTGGGGACCACAGCCATCAACTGCTCTGCAGAACAAGAACAATATAGCTGAGTCAACAAAAATAGAGAAAAGCATCTTTATTTGGAAGTGGAGTTTTGAATGAGAAGCTGTTGGTGGAAAAATGTCAATAAAACTTTTTAAGCTATCAAATAAATCATAAAGCAAGTATTAGTTTTAAGATATTCATTAGATCCTAAATTATTCTATGTCCACACTGATAAATTTTCAGATCATATGATACTTACAGCTTGCACCCATTGCCACATCTACATTACTAATAACATGTAAATAACAAGATCTTTATTGATCATAAGAAGAATTGATCCTTCTGCACTGGGATCTTTCTCTTTTGATCATCCATCTGGACTATATAATTCCTCTCCCACAAGAAATGTGGGTTATAGTGACAAGGAAGATGAAGTAACATGTTTCAACCCACCAGTCATTTGGTGTAATGGCTATTTCCCTAGACAATCAATCAAGAGGTTCTGGGGGGGTTTTGTTTTGTTTTGTTTGTTTTTTTGCACACACAAAAAAGCAAGACTATTTGGATTAAATTTAAAAATCTAATCTCTAATGTTGGAATACTTGTCTGTATTTTAATTGCAAGATTGCTCCCTATAGTTCTGGACTCAGAATTTCCTGCAATATATACCAGAAATATTATTTTAGACTTTGGTTAATTAGCTGACTATTTCGGCAATAAGTCTTCCATAAAACCAGGAAGATAAATCTTAAGTTCTTTATGTTATCCCCTGGGTTTGGAAAAAGTCACTGGAAAACAATTTGAAATATCACCCTTCTTGTCCACTGTTGTATTAGCCCTTAGCATTTAGCAATAGTGATGTAGGAGATGCATCATGTCATGAGTCCCTGCACACCCAAAAGAGATCTACCCTGTTTCTCCAACAATATGGCCTCCCCCAATAGGAAGTCCCAGCATGTTTTATAGGCATGAAATGAAATTAAGCCCCTCCCCCCAAATTAAGGCCTATATTAAAACATGCGAAATGGGGGGGTGGGGGGGCTTGCTGTTAGGAAGTACTTTTGTTGCACACCCAGATATGATGCTGCCTGCGTTGACCCCGATATGAAGTGCCCCATCAACGCCGAGGTCAACATCCAAGCTGTTGCTGCCCACCCACCCGAAGATGCAGGGGGGGGGATTAAGTCACCCCTGAAAAGACGACCTAGCCATTTTTTCGGGGCTCAAAAAAAAATAAGACCCGGCCTTATTATATGAGAAACACGGTAAGTCCAGCCCACCTTGAATGCTTTCTTACACTCATTTATTTCCCTTGACCATTACCTGTAGTAGATCAGATTCTTGTAGAGAGCTTAAGCTTTCAATAAATCTTTATACTCATTTGAACTGGCTGAATTCCCTGGCACTTGATAAGCAATAGCATTTAGGCTTATATACCCACCCACAGTGCTTTACAGCAGTGATCCCCAACCTTTTTGACGCCGCGGCCCGGTACCGGCATCAGCTGGGCACCGCGGCCCGGTACCGGCATCAACTGGGCGCCGCCATCTTTTTTTGATGAAAACGTGCTTCCGGTGAGCTTTCTACCCGGAAAAGCTCACCGGAAGCACTTTTTTACCAAAAAGATGGCGGCGCCCAGCAAGCCAGCGGCCCGGTAAGACTTGTTCCGCGGACCGGTACCGGTCCGCGGACCGGCGGTTGGGGACCCCTGCTTTACAGCACTCTCTGGGTAGTTTACAAGGTAGAAACATTATCTGCATATTGCTCCCAATGCTCTGAGTCCTCAATTTATCAACCTTGGAAGGATGAAAGACAGAGTCAGCCTTGAGACCCATCAAGATCAAACTCTATGCTGTGGGCAATTTGCCTGCAATACTGCACTTTAACCACTGTGCCACTAGGGCTCTTTTCAAGCCTTATCAAAATTTCAAGTTGATTTACAATTATTTGGCTTATCATGCCAACACCATACCAACACTTCCATTTCCCCCATTTTTTCCTTGTTGGGGAATGCATGGACCCAAACAACTTCTAAAGCTGATGCAACTTTATATGGCAATGTTAGGAGAGGAATAAACAGAAGCATCTAGATGACAAATCTGGGCAAATCTCCTTCTGAGACAAGAATGTGATGCAGAAGCAACTGAAAGAATCACCAGCTTCATGGTTCTTCATAACAAGAGCAAGTCATAAGCCCTTGGTTATGCAACTCCAGAATTTACATGTCTATAGAGGTTCTTAATCATCCAGGTCATGGTGGTCCCAAAAGTGCTTTTCCAAAAGGTAGCTGGACCATCCTGTTTTTCCTTTGAAACTGAACTGAAGAAGCTTCTTGATTGAGAAGCAAAAATGTTTTTCAAAGGAAAAAAACTAAGGAAGATCAGTTGGAAAAAGGGACTTTTGGAATATCCAGAAATTATTATTTGATCAGATTTGGCCGATTATCTTTTTGCCAACAGCATAAAGAAAAGTCTGAGGATTACTAAAGTACTAATGTTCCTCCTTAATACCTGGTAACATAGAATACAGCGGGGCTGCTATCAGAACATTGTTGTCAAAGAAGAAATATTTCTGATCGAAATCCCACATTCTGAAACTCCAGGGGTCATTCATAGCTTCTTTATCTGGAAGACATGGCTATGAGTGAATAGAAATATTTAAAATGGTGAAAATACATTAGCATAGAAAGCAGGTGTCAGTAGAAGAAAATGCAAGTAGTCCTTGACATATAACAGTTCATTTTGGTGACTGCTTGAAGTTACAACAGCACAGAAAAAAGTGGCTTATGATCGCTTTTCACACTTATGACCATTGCAGTATCCCTACCTTCATCTGATCAAAGTATTAAACGCTTAGCAACTGACTCATATTTATGACAGTTGCTGTGTCCTGGAGTCATGTGATCACCTTTTGTGACCTTCTGACAAGCAAAGTCAATGGGGAAGCCCCATTCATTTAACAACCGTGTTACTAATTCAACAGCTGCAGCAATTCACTTAACAACCGTGGCAAGAAAAGTCATAAAATGGAGCAAAACTCACTTAAAACTGTCTCACTTAGCAACATAAATTTTGGACTCAATTGTGGTCATAAGTTGAGGTCTACCTGTGTATAATGTAATAAGTTTTCCCCTTTCTGCTTCTGCATGTTGACCACTCTACTGTTGTATAAAAGAGCCAGGAAAACCTGCTCTTCATCCAGGCCTTTGATGAGAAGAGAGACTCCGCATGTCATCATGCTTGCCATCCTTTATCTTTATTTTTTATGTTTTATTGAAGTGAACGTACAGTAATGGATTGGATTGTTGTGAGCCACCCAGTCATTGGGATGCAAGCCTGCAAGTTTAATAAATTATGGTTGATCACACAGTCAACCAGATGTTTAGGCTGGATTTGGCATTGTTTACCTGTCAAGTTCTTTCCAAGGACCATTATTATTATTATGGTCAGTCGCATAGTCAGTCAGATGTTTAGACTGGGTTTGGCATTTTTATCTATCTGTCAAGTCCCTCCCAAGGACCTGGGATAAACAGATGTTATTGTCTGATGGTGTTAAAGATATTGTTGCAGGATATATCCTGTTCCAAGAAAAGCTTTCTTTTGCAATTGACTGGTGGTGATTTTGTCAATTCTGATGGCTATTATTATGTACCACCTTGCAAACATTTTTCACATTCATGGCTCAAATCAAGGTTGCAAATTGCAAAGACACTGAATATAATTACAAACATGCATATCGCTATTTCCCTTGACCCATTTCGTTCAATTCTTGAGATGAGTCTAAATGCCTCCATTGTTAAGAAACTGCAATGTAACAATTTATCAAGTTCCCAGTTCTAATATACACAGCCAAAGAAAGTTTTAGATTGCAACCCTAAAGTTGCTATTTACCTTTAAATTCATGGAATAAATCTTTTAATTCCTCATCAACAGTTCTCTTCTGCAGTTCCATTTCAGTAGTTACTGAGTAACTTATGATAGCAATTACTGCTGTCTGTCTCTTTGATTACCTTTCAGGCGATTAGATGCCTCTTTTGAAGTTATAGTTACAATTCTAGAAGAAGCAACTGAAAGAGATTTGCATTACATTTAGGATGAGAAGAGAATTAAAGTCAATAATTATTCTAAGCAAAAAATGAAAAGAGATCAAGAGCTTTGTTACATATGGATAGAAACCAGAGCCAAGAAAACTGGTTTTTAACAAGAGAATGAAGGCAATGCACTGTTTTTTAAAAAATAGTTTTTATTGCAGTTTTCAAAAATACAAATCTCAATCATAGTCTTAATGTTTTGGCATCGACAAATACATATATCCTATATACATTTATTTATAATCATATTGATAATCGACTAAGGTCTCCTGCTTTATTTGCCATAATCCTTCTTCCTAATCTTAGTATCTGTTTTTTAACCACTCATACCATTTATCCCTTATTGCGTAATATTCCGAATCCTCCTTGTCTTTCAATGTGAGCTTATCCATTTGGCACATTGCAGTACCTTTTGTATGATCAAGTCTTCTGAGGAGGTATTGGCTCCTTTCCATAATTGTGGGAAAGTTATTCTGGCTGCCATCAAAATATGTAATATAATATACTTAATCTTTTTACTATATTGGCCTGTAATTATTCCAATAAAAAGAATTCCAGTTTGAGTTCAGTTTGGTGTTTGGTAATCTCTTGTAGCCAGTTTTTTATTTTAACCCAATATTTCCTGGTCTCGGGACATAGCCACCATATGTGATAGAAGGTACCATACTTTTGTCAACATTTCCAACATTTTGGACTTATGTTGGGGTACATCTTAGCCAATCTCGCTGGGGCCAAGTGCCAACAATAGAACATTTTATACAAATTTTCTTTTTAAGCCGTGGAGGTCGATAATTTATAATTACTAGTCCATAGTTTCTCCCATTCATCTAATTCAATACTGTATCCAAAGTTCTGTGTCCATGCTATCATTGAACCTTTTGCAATTTCTTCTTCCATATTGAATTCCAATAAATAGTTATACACTTTAGTTATAAATTTTTCCTCTGCTCCAACTAAAATTTTATCTAATTGTTGTTGTTCTTTGTCAAATCCAAATTCCTCTAAATCCTTTTTATATCTATCCTGTAGTTGTAAATATGGCCACCAGTCAATTATAATTCCTTGTTCTCTCAGCTCTTGGTTCATTTTAAGATTCCCTTGATTATCTAATAAACCGTTATAGCTTACCATTTCTTTTAATATCCAATGTATTTTGGTAGATCGTGGCCTCCATAGTTGACAGCCAGCAGGGTATCTTGATGTAATGTTTCTTTTTAATTTTCATCCAAATCTGAATAAGTGAGCCTCTTATTTGATGTCTATAGAAGTAAGAGTGTACCTTACTCCTTTTTCCCCATAAAAATGCATGCCAGCCTATCTGGAGGACATAACCTTCTAATGTTAAAATTATTTTATTTTTTAAATTTACCCAATCCTTTATCCAGGTTAGTGTCATGGCCTGATAATAGAGTTCCCACTCTGGTACTCCAAAACCACCTCTGCTCCTTCTATCCTGTAGCATTTTCAATTTAATGCACAGTTTCTTGCCTAACCAGATGAACTTCATTGTTGTTTTGTTTAGCTCTTCAAAAAAAAAATTATCTAGTTTTATAGGAATTGTTTGAAATAGGTATAATAGTTGGGACAAAAATGCACTGCTTTATTGTTGTCATAGGATTGCTTAGGTTTGTATTTCTTACTATGGCTTTGCAGCATTTTTGCTGAAATAGGACTAGGGAAATAAAATGCTTTAGATAAAGAAGGAAAGGGAAAAGCAAAAGGAAAGAGAAAGGGAAGAGAAAAGGAAAGGAAGGAAGGGAGGGGGGAAAAGGAGGAAAAAGGAGGGAAGGGGAAAAGAGAGGGAAAGCTTTAAAAAACTACAGGACAAAAAAGCAGCTTAGTATCTAAATTTGTGGACATGCCCACAGTCAACTGAAATCGTCTTGCATTTTGTAAAACTAGAAAAACTAATTTCTGGCCTATCTAAATTACTTTTGACCTTCATATTTCCAAGAGAAGGATTCATGCTTGAAAATGATTCTGCTAACTTAAGTTCCCCTTTTACATAACATGAATAGATTTGTCTTCTTGGCTATATAGGCAAACAATGGTTCTATTCTGGAATTTCTCTCCAAACAAATCTGCCTACTATCATCTTGAACCCTGTTAAATCCATCGTCGGAAAGGAGACTCGGGAGCCAGTGACCAGTTTCAGCTCTTTATTAGGTCCCGAGATCGGCTCGGGCTACAGAAGAAAAGCGGCGGCTTTTATTCTCTGGCCACGGCGGCCGCGGCCAATGGCACCGCTTTGAATCTCCCGCGATTAGTTTCCACCAATCAGTGCGGCTCGCTCAGCCAATCAGGTTGCTGTGTGTTCTGACCAATCACAGCGCGGCGCTTGCAAGTATGTTAATGGATCATACAGAACACCCCTCCCCTCTTGGTATGGTCCTACGTAACGTAGTCCCGTAAGTAGGCAGGGCTCCGTACTTGCCTACTTGACCTGCGCAGGTTAGTTGCTGGTTGGCCTTCGGCCGGTTCGGTCGGGTTCTGTGTCGCTCTCTGCCTCGTCGATGGAACCGCCTGGAAGTGTGAGCCGGGCCTTTCGTTGCAGCTCCCTCCCGGTCTACCCGGGCTGGTCGAGCTGCTGTTGTCGCTGCTCCCGCTCGGTCTTTCCAGGCTGGTTGAGCTGGCCTGGCTGCTTCTCCCTGGTGAGGCTTCGAGCTGGGTGTCTGTTTCTGTCTCGGTTGGTAAGTATTCCTGGTTTCTTTCTGGTTGGGGTTGGTTCCCGGGGCCTTCCCTCCCCTCTTGGTTTGTGCTGGGGAGGTTCCCTTCTCTTTCTGGGTGTCTGTCTGTGCTTGTTTGCGTGTCGGTTGTGTTTCCCGTGGTTGTTCTTGATCTTATTTGATCGATGTGTCGTTTCCATTCTCGTCCATCGGTTGTTTGTAGCCGGTACGAGCGGGGACCTGTTGCTTGGGTTATCGTCGCCGGTATCCAGAGGGGGTCCCCTCTCAGGTTTTTTGCGTATACCGCATCGCCTGGTGTAAATGTTCGGTACCTGCTTGATGAATCGGTGGGTTTTTCGGAGCTGTATGTGGGGTGCAGCCTATCCAGGGGGGACCTTAGTTTCCTCCCCATTAGGAGTTCTGCGGGGCTTTTGTTGGTCGTTGTATTTGGTGTTATGTGTTGGATAAAAAGTAGTTTATTTAATTTTTCCTGCATGTTCCCCGTCTCGGTTTTTTGAATTGTTTTCTTTGTGAATTGGACCATCTGTTCCGCCCTACCGTTCGCCGCCGGATGAGCCGGCGCTGTCAGGGCGTGCCGTATTCCCCGTTCCGCTAGGAATTTTTCAAATTCCAGCGCGGTGAACTGTGGTCCGTTATCTGACACAATTACGTCCGGGAGGCCGTGGGTCGAGAACAGTCTGTTGAGTTCTCAGATGACGGCTTCGGTGGTGGTAGTTTTCATGTCGCTTACCTCCAGCCAATTGGAATAAGCGTCTACCGTTATGAGGAATGTATGTCCTTTTGTGGGTCTGGCGAACTCTATGTGTATCCTGGACCATGGTCCCCTGGGGGTTTCCCACTCCCGGATTGGGGCGGCGGGTGGGCATGGTCTGGATTCCTGGCATTGCTTACAGCTAGCCACCCAGGCTTCAATTTGCTTGTCCATCCCTGGCCACCAAGCATAGCTTCTTGCCAAGGCTTTTGACCTGACGATTCCCGGGTGCCCCTCATGTAACAAGTCCAAGAACCGTTTTTGTAATTTTTCTGGGATTACCACCCTGTCCCCCCATAATATACAAACCTTCTGCGTGGAAAGTTCCAATTGTTTGTTTTTAAAAGTCCTGAATGTCTAGTCGACGTCCTTTTCCGGCCAGCCCTTCTCCGCCCATTGTAATACCCGCGCCAGACGTTTGTCTTTATTGGTTTCGTGGGCAATGTCTGACGCGGTTAGGGGGAGGTTGGGTATGGCCTCGATGCTCAAGGTGGATGTTGTGGGTGCTGGGTCGGCGTCCAGGTCGGGTAACGGTGTGTGGCTCAAGGCGTCTGCGTGCGTGATCGTTTTGCCCGGTCGGTGGATCAGCCGGTAACTGTAGGCGGCGAGGAACTCAGACCACCTTGTCATTCTTGGGGATAGAATGTTCCCTGCCAGGATGCCCAACAACGGCTTGTGGTCCATGATGATGGTGAATGTCCTGCCGTAGAGGTACTCGTGGAACCTTTTGACGGCGGCGATGATTGCCAGGGCTTCCTTGTCGAGTTGGCTATAGTTCCTTTCTGGCTTCAACAAGGTTCTTGAGTAAAAGGCGATGGGTGCTTCGTTTCCGTTTGGGAGTGTGTGGCTGAGGATCGCCCCGATCACGAACGGTGATGCGTCGCACGTGACTGTCAGTGGGAGGGTCTCGTTGTATTGGATGAGGACGGCATCCGATGTGAGTAGGTCCTTGGTTTGGTTGAAAGCAGTTTCCTCTCATTTCCCCCAGGTCCAGGTGGCTGTTTTATCGAGCAGCCTATGCAATGGTTCCGCCGTGGTCGCCTTTTGGGGTAGGAAAACATTGTAGAAATTAATCAGCCCAAGAAATGCCTGCAGTTCTGTTTTGTTCCTTGGTCTGGGGGCTTCTTTGATGGCTCTGATTTTTTTCTCGGTTGGGTGAATGCCGTGCCGGTCTAGGAGATATCCTAGGAACTCGTCCCTCTCTGTATGCAGCTGGCATTTTTCTTTTTTGACTTTAAGCCCGGCCTCTTTGAATTTTGTTAGTACCTCCCTCAGGCGACCCTCCAGTTCTCTTTGGTTGGCTGCTGACACCAGTACATCGTTGAAGTAGGGCACCACTCCCTTGATTCCTTGTAGGAGTCTTTCCATGAGGCTCTGGAAAATTCCTGGGGCTACGCTGACTCCAAACTGGAGTCTCTTACAGCGAAAGGCCCCCCGGTGGGTTACTATGGTCTGCGCCTCGGCGGTTTCTGCGTCGACCGGTAACTGTTGGTAAGCTTGTGCCAGGTCGAGCTTCACAAAAACCTTGCCTCCCCCGTGAGTGTAGGAGGTGCTGCACTACTGAGACGGGGTAGGCGCTTTGTTGTAAGGCGCAATTTAGGGTGGCCTTATAGTCCCCACAGATTCTCACCGACCCGTCGGGCTTGACTGGGGTGACTATGGGGGTCTCCCACCGGGCGTGATCAGTTGGCTCTAGGACCCCCTGTTTGATGAGCTTGTCTATCTGCTCATCGATCTTCGGCCGGAGTGTGAAAGGTACCCGCCGTGGTTTTAAACGTATCGGGGGAACGCTGGGGTCTAGACTGAAGGAAATAGGGGGCCCTCGGTACTTGCCTAGGGTGCCGTCGAACACTTCCTGGAAGTCCCTTGCGAGTTGCTCTTCCCAGTCTGCCTCTGCGATGTGGTCGATGCCGGTTACTTCGATCCCGAGCGGCGCGAACCACTGTAGTCCCAAAAGGCTGGGTCTGTCTCTATCCACGACCGTCAAGGGAAGCCTTGCTGTGCGCCCTTTGAAGGTTACTTCGAAGAGTCCTGTTCCGACTACGGGGATGCGGTTCCCTTGGTAGTCTTTAAGGACTAACTTCTGGCTTTCCAGCCCCCTCTTGTGGATTGTGGGCACCAGGAGCTTGATTTCCCGCCATGCAACCATGGAGAGGTAGGACCCGGAGTCCACCTCCATTTTGCATGGCTTGCCCTCGATGCCCACTTCCACGTATACCTTCCGGGCGTCTGAGCTCGATGAATGGCCGATGACGACCGTCTGGTGGGTTTCCTCTCTCTGCCGGTTCTCGCCGTTCCGTCGGCCCTGTCTGTCCCGGTTCCAGCGGCTCTCGGCTTGGCGGTCCCTGGGCCTGGGGGGGGGTGCCGTCTCGTCTCCGGTCGCTGTTGTCTCGTCGACGGGGGCTGTAGGCTTTCTTGAGTTGGCAGACTCGGGCGATGTGGCCTCTCTTGTCGCAATGCCGGCAGATCGCGTCGAAAAACCGGCACTCTGATCGAGGGTGGTCGCCTCCGCACCCGGCACAGTGGGGTCCCGACTTACGACTTCGCCGATCACGCCGGTCCCGTTCTGTTTGGAGTTGATGGATGTCCTCCTCGTCGTCCGTGGTGTCGGAGGCGGAATCGAGGTCACCATGGTGGGTGGTGGTGGTTGCTCGGCGGCTTGCTCCTGGGTGCGCCTCAGTCGTCGTGGCCGCCTCGGAGGTTGTGGCTCAATCCCCGGTATCAGACCTCCGCATTCGGGCCGCTGATTTCCGGGTTGCTTCGGCTGCTGTGGCCTCGGCAAGGGCATCTGCGAGGGAGATATCACCCTTGGCCATCAGTCTGCTTTGTAGGACTGGGTCCCTGAGCCCGAGGATGACGCGGTCTCGTAGCGCCTCATCCATATCCGTGAAACCGCACATGCCTCCTAGGTTTCGCAGATCAGCCATGAAATCACTGATGCTCTCACCCGGCTTCTGGTCCCGCCGGTAGAAATCGTGCCGTCTGATGAGGGTCGGCACGGCGGGAGCATAGTGGCCTCGGAGCAGTGGCTCGAGGTCGGTCCAGTCCATCGCCTTCATGTCCTCGGGCTTCGCAAGGGCTTTTGCCATCTTAAACACTGCGGGCCCGCAGTGCGTCAGGAAAACAGCCCTTTTCTTCTGCCCGTTTGCGTCCTTGAGGTTGCTACTCTCCAGGAACATCAGGAACCGATCAATGTACGATTCCCAGTCCTCAGTAGCTTGGTTAAAGGGTGCGGGCGGTGCGAGGCTGGCCATCTCGTCGATCTCGTTCCCTCGGGACCACGTGCTCGGTGGGTATCAGTTCTGGGATCCCACCTTTGTCGCCAGTGTTAAATCCGTTGTCGGAAAGGAGACTCAGGAGCCAGTGACCAGTTTCAGCTCTTTATTAGGTCCCGAGATCGGCTCGGGCTACAGAAGAAAAGCGGTGGCTTTTATTCTCTGGCCGCGGCGGCCGCGGCCAATGGCACCGCTTTGAATCTCCCGCGATTAGTTTCCACCAATCGCGGGGGATTCGCGGCGGGCCAATCAGTGCAGCTCGCTCAGCCAATCAGGTTGCTGTGCGTTCTGACCAATCACAGCACGGGGCTTGCAAGTATGTTAATGGATCATACAGAACAAACCCAACATTGCCTGTAGCAAAAGTGAGAAATTAGAACTGTGCATCTTGAAACTGAACAGCAAATATCAAAATTTGGCAGGCATTTGAGGGTTTTTTTCTTTTTACTGAAAAAAGAAACAAAATGGGCAAACCCAATCTTAATGTCCTTGATTGTTTTGTTTAAAAAAATCCATTTAAACATTCCTCAAACTAAGAGGTCAAACAAAATTGCTATTTTTCCTGGGGGGTTTAGAAGCTGTGGGGATGGGAACATTTGCCTGGTTTACAACTGAATCTCTTGTAATACTCAGAATCAAGAAGTTAACTTTTCTAGTATCTCCTCTTGAATTTTTTCTTCATCTTTTAAAAGAAAGATGAAGCATTAGGCTACATTTGGTGGCCTTATGCTTATGCATAGTTTTGCGGGGGACCCCAGAAAAAGTTACTCTTTAGTGGCATTTTTTTTTTTAGTAGAGTTCTGAAACTCTTAACAAAAGTCTCTAAAACCTTACACCTACTGCTTAATCAGAAGTGACTATGTAAATATCTAACAAAATACAATGAGATCATTGTATCTTCATTGCTATCAGTGTGAAGTTATGAAGCTATGAAGATGTTGTACATTCCTAACGGGGATCATCCTTTATTAAGAAATCCATTCCCACAACCTTATTGGTTCCAGAATAAAAATCCAAAGACATCTTCAAATAAGGAACTGCATAGATAGTCAAGCTTCCATTTTGCCTTTCAAATGTTTCCCAATCTTTACAAAATATAGTTCACCCAATTTGTCCCGCATGAGATGCTTTGGAGCATCAAGGTGAGCCGGAGAGAGATTGATTGGAAAGTGGTGCCTGTCAGGAGGGAGAGTTAGAAAGTTCTTGCTGTTCTTTTTCTTTCTTTTTCTTTTTCAGTTCTATGACATCCTTTTAAAAGAGAGCCAGGGGTTAAGGCATTAGATTAGAAACCAGGAGACCATGACTTCATGTCCCGCTTTAGGCACAGAAGTTAAATTGGGTGACCAGTCTCACTTTCTCATAGCCTTAGGAAGAAGGCAGTTGCAAACCCCTTCTGAAATCTTGTCTAGAAAATTCCAAGGGCTTGTCCAAGAGTTACCAGGAGTGTAAATTGATTCAAAAGCACACTCACAGCATCCTTTAACGTTGCTTGAGATATTTGCTCCATAGGACAGGGTGATGAATCCTCTCTCAGACCTTCCATCTAAAACCCTCTGCATTTGCTATTAAAGTAGAGATTTAGACTGGGGGAAAATTAGAGGATTCTTGATTTTCTGTCTCACAACCAAAATGATTGCATAAATGGAAGAGAAAGATCATTCTGAACATTTAAAAAAAGAAAGAAAATAAAGAAAGATAATAGGAACTAAAAAAATAGTACCTGAAATGATTGAATAAGTCCTGTTCCACTCTGTGCTTTCTTTCACTCTGGGTTTTGCCATGGTTTTGCATAAAGTTTTAACAACTTCCCAGTAGTTAAACTTCATTAATGATTTGCAGTTTCAAAATTAGGCACAGTATAAACTTAGCAGGAAGTTGCCTTCCTATAAAACAAGAAGTTCATTGTACTTTCGGCAAACTTTTACTGTAACTTACCAGGGCTTTATATAAACAAATGTATATAGATAGGGCTATTTACCATGGTGTGCTTGTAAACCTTGCCTGAGGTTCCCCAATGGATATATGCCTCAAGTTATAATGTATAGAACATGAAACTTCACACAATGACTACATTCTTGTAAAATGGCTATGACGCACCAAATAAATTAAACTTGTTTATTCATCTACACTCATGTACCATTACAAAAAGATGAAAACAATGCTATGAAATTCCTGGCCAATTACACATTGATTGACTGATTGATCTCCAACTTTATTTGGAGTTAGCTTCAAACAAAACTCTTCAGTATAGTAAGCTAGTAGTAGTGGTAGGCGATAGGGATATCAAGAGTATAACAGAATAACAGAGTTGGAAGGGACCTTGGAGGTCTTCTAGTCCAACCCCCAGCTTAGGGAGGAAACTCTGTAGCATTTCAGACAAATGGCTGTCCAGTCTCTTCTTAAAAGCCTCCAGTGTTGGAGCAGTCAAAACTTCCAGAGACAAGTTGTTCCACTGAGTAATTGTTCTGTCAGGAAACTTCTCCTATGTTACTTCTCTCCTCGATTGGTTTCCATTGATTGCCTCTTGTCTTTCCTTCAGGTGCTTTGGTGATTGGTTGACACCCTCTTCTTTGTAGGATCCATAGTAGGCTGTGATCCCAATGAACTCTCCCCAACAACCCTTTCAGGTTCTACTGGTATGAAATAAATAAAATGATGTAGGAGATGACCAGGCTGAACCTGAGGGGAAAGGGTCGAGCGCGTTACCAATCTTGAGTCTCTTCATGCTCATAAGAGATCTAAGTCCAGGCCATCTTGAATTCTGTTGACACTTATGTGCCGCCAATTTGCTTTGACAGTTAGTAGTTCAGATTCTTGTAGAGAGCATTAGCATACAATATAGGTAATCCCCTGGGTTAAGAGTGTTCATTTAGTGCCCATTCGAAGTTACGAAATAAGTGTCCCCAAGTGTTTACGAGCAAGTTCTGAAATCACAAATGTTGCAGCACCATGGCAGTTGTTCTCTCTTATGAACAATTGTAGAGGTCTGCAAAATTTACCCTATTTCCCCGTCTCCACTCCCCACAATTCTTTCCCCCTCTCATCTTGGATTTGTGGTGCATTTCTCCTGCTCCCCCATTTCCAACTCTTTTCTACTGGAACACTTTTCACCCAGAAAAGTGAAAAGCCATCTGCTCCATTTTTAAGCACCCCTTTTGCAAGGTAATGAAGCTTCTAGCCCATGTCAGTTCTCTGTTCGAGTGAAAAGTGTTTGGGCGCCCATGGGATGCTTAGAAACGGATCCATCTAGAAACAGGAGAAAGGCACCACAAACACTTTTCCCACCCAGAATGAAAGTTTCTGGGGTCCATGATCTCATGAGAGTTCAGGCACCCAGTCTCTGCAAAAGAGGATAATTGCCTGAATTCGTACAATATTGCGGCACCCAGGTGCTTCCATCGACTCTTCCTCTCCCTCAAAGGTACAGAAACACAGAGGTGACAGATCTTGTAAGGTGAGTCCAGCGCACAGAAAGGGAGGTAGAAGCATGAGGTATCTTAGTGGGTTGGGTGGCCTTGGGGAGTCTGTTCTATCATTAGACCCCCCCATGGCCTTCTCCACCCTGAAATATCTCATTTCCACTTAACAAACTAAGCATTTGATTAGTGAATGTGTGGGCAGAAAGCAGGGACCGATCTCGTTCAAGGTACGAGATTCACTCCTACGAATTCTTGAGGTACAAATGGAATGGGCAGGCTCCATTATATTTGTAACTTGAGGACTACCTGTAAGCCTATATTTGTTTGAACTGCCTGGACTCCTGATTTCCCATACTGACAAGTTCATCTTAATAATGACCTTCGCTGTTTTCTTTTTTAGTCAGAGGTCTACTTGAAACTAAAGACAGAACACCAGATACTTCTCCAGAAGAGGTTTTTTTAAAAAAAGAAAATATTTTTTTTATTGAAAAGTTTAACAATACTAAAATAATATAAACTAAATGTCATGGTTCTGAGTAATGCTCCCAATCAATTCAAGATTCAGGCCTTGGCTTCCTCAAAAATCCTGTTTATTGGGAACATCATATCAGCACGGTCAGAGATGAAACCAACAATCAATAATTCCCATATTTTTTGTATAATTAAAGAATATATACTGTCCAGCCCGCTTGTGTCATAGGTCAGGTTAGCCATCCAAGCAGGCGATGGACTTCTCAGCACTCCCTCGTGCCATTGCTAGGGCACATTGATTCAGCCTTGGTTCTCAGGAGCCTTATTATTGTTATGTCTGGCACATTGGAGGAAAATTCACAACCAGATCAGATTAACAGAGTTGGATGGGACCTTGTAGATCATCTAGTCCAACCCCCTGCCCAAGCAGGAGACCCTACCATTTCTGACAAATGGCAGTCCAATCTCTTCTTGAAAGCCTCCAGTGATGAAGCTCCCACAACTTCCGAAGGAAGCTGTTCCATTGGTTGATTGTTCTCACTGTCAGAAAATTTCTCCTTATTTCCAGGTTGAACATCTCCTTGTTCGGCTTGCATCCATTATTCATTGTCCAACCTACAGATGCTTTAGAAAATAGCTTGACCCCCTCCTCTCTGTAGCATCCCCTCAAATATTGGAAGGCTGCTATCATGTCTCCCCTGGTCCTTCTCTTCAGTAGACTAGCCATGCCCAGTTCCTGCAATCGTTCATTGTATGGTCATATGTTCATCATATCTTCTCCGCACATTTTTTTTTGAATCTCAACATCTTTTTTATGGTGTGGTGACCAAAACTGGATGTAGGTGTGGTCTTACTGTGAAGAGTTGCACCATCTGTGCCACGATGAATAAACAACTAGGAACCACCACCCCCGGACTTATACAGACAGTAGCAGAACCAACATGGCCATGGGAGGAGATTGCAATGGATTTCATAGTGGAGTTGCCAAAAAGTGGAGGAAACATGGTGATCTGGACTGTAATAGACTTATTTTCCAAACAGGCGTAATTCATACCATGCAGTGGACTACTGTCAGCCCACCAGTTAGCCAAGCTGTTTTTGAAACACATCTACCACCTGCATGGAGTGCCATGGAGAATTATCTCAGACAGAGGAGTCCAGTTTACGGCCAAATTTTGGAGGGAGTTCCTGCAGATTATTGGGTCCTCCCAGGGACTTAGCTCAGCTTTTAATCCAAGTACCAACGGGGGGCAGAGAGATTGAACACCATGATAGAGCAGTACCTGAGGTGCTATGTGAATTATCAGCAATCCAATTGGGTGGACCTCCTGCCTTTTGCGGAGGTTGCGTACAATAATGCTGTTCACAGTAGCATGAGACTAACCCCCTTCAAAGTGTAGCAGCAAATCATATATCGAAGACAGGACTCAAGACCACGAAAAAGGTGGAGGAAATCAGGTTTATTGCACAATACGTTCAGAGTATTAGCATGACAAATTCTGAACACCCAGCTGCATCTGGGGTGGTTTCTTTATACCCAGAATGACCTCATCATATGTCTGGGCGTTTACCTTTAACACTTTCACAAATTACGGTCAACTGATTATACACGCATCTTAGGACAGATAAATGCAATATCCTGTGTTACGGCAGGAACACAAAAGAGGATATGATAATTTTGTTTTCTTGCTTATTCTGTTATCTTACACCAACCGTAATTTTCCATTCCCATCCTTAGTTGCAAGAGAAGCATAGCTTTACTTCCTTAAAATATAAGTTCCTTAATTTCGCAACAAACAAAATACAGAAGTAAATGTGACCTGTAAGTTAGTTCTAACCTATGACCTAGTTTACTATAATGTCCATATTTTATATGCCTTAATTGGTCCTGCTTCATTCCCCCCTTTGAAACTACACCCACATCAAGAGATTTAGTGTGCAGTTTCATATTCATCCAAATTTTGAGTAGTGGGATAAAGAGGAAGAAGTTCTTCATATGTTCCCGAGGGGTCGTGGGCCCATAAGGCCATTACCTTTTCAGTTGTTTCCTTTTCGACAAGAAGTGAGAGGCTGCTGGAAATGGTACGCACGAAGATAGGAAGAATACAAGGCAAGATTACACATCCAGCAGCAATCATCCCAACCAGTGCCACAATGGCCTGTAGGCCAGGTAACTTAGGGAACCAAGAACCAAAAACTTCACCAAAATCAAAACCCTTCCATTTTTGAACAGGGACATGAGCAAGAGTCATAATGCGTTTAGCGCGCTGTTCAATGATTTCTCCTATATCATCAAATTCCAAACAGCAGTTGGTAAAATTGAATTTCCCACAGACCCCACCTTCAGCAGCCAAAAGATAGTCTAAGGCCAAGCGATTCTGATAGATAGCATCCCTGAACTTTCTTTGTTGCTCCGCCAAGGTAACCAGAGACTGCGCAGTTTCATTAGCTATTAACTCAAGCACCGCCTGGAGCCTAATAATGCGGTTGAGCATATAGATAGGGGTACGGTATCCCCAAGACCCGTCTGCTGCCCACATACTTGGGTTGTAATACTGGACAATTCTCTCTGGGGGCCAGTCTCCGTCACTCCAGTCCCCAATTTTGTAAGGCCTATCAGCTTGCAATTTTCTGCCCTGCCATAGATTAGCATTCAATGCCTGGGGTATGTTTAGTGGCATCATAAAGAAAGAAGGATTAATAATTCCTAAGGTGCAAGTCCCTCTCCAGTCAGTGGGTAGAGAGCTATAGGCCACATCCCCGCATATCCAATGTACACCCGGAGGGGCTTCAGAAGCGTTTTCAAAGGAATACTTATCTGCCCAGTAGGTGTTGGTCCTGTTAGGCCAATAATGCCAGACCTTTGTGGACAAATAGAGTACCAGGTTCCATTGAAACAACAGGGGGTGGGAGTCAATGTGCAGGTGTAGTGGGTATGGTATATCAAGGTAGTGCGAATCTCCCTTCCCCGTAATACTGTTTTGAGGCATGCAGTGCAATTGTTGGGACATAAGGGGTCCCGACCACTGAGGGCCTGATCTAATGTAGGAGGGATCTTGTTAGCCTCGTTTTCACCCTGGGGCTTAGGAAATTTGGGCTTTTGTGCGGGGGTGTGGTATCTAGGATTTCTCCAATAAGGAGTGGGTACGATTCCACTTTCCCTATAACACACAAGTCCCTGGTTTCCCATACATCGCTTTAAAGGGGCTTCCACTCGGAAGATGCCTGTGCATTTTTTTCCGTTACAACCTGTAGGGGGGCTCCAGGTATCATAGATGCATTGGGGTAGACTAAAGTCTGTGCAGGTTGCCGGTGTTCCTATAGTATATCTGAGGCCACCCCTTCCATCCTTACATTCAGGGTGCATCTCACATTTCTGCCCCTCAGAGAGAGTGGTGGAGCTATCCCTAGGGGCCGCTGTGTAGCACTTCTCCCCATAATTTCCAGCACATCTTAACACTAATGTGTTCTGCATCTGGCCGTTTTCCATGGGCAACATATAAAAACAATTGGAGGTAATGTTGAAAATTGTGCAAGTAGGCGGAGTCCCAACATACGCTGTCAATATCCCCTGTTTATCAACACAGCCATCACACGCCGGGTCATGTTTGTACGATGCTAACTGATAAGCAGAATTACGGGGTAGTCGGGTATGTTTCACCGAGACCCATGGGGATCGTAGATAGTAGCACCGTATCGTGTTATTTTTCATACATTGCCAATACTTAGTCCCTTGATATTCGCACTGGGGAAGATTTGTAATACGACAGTTAGGGGGTCTATATTCAGTATAAGTGAAATGTTTACCTGTAGGTCTTACCAAGTAGCAATCTAGACATGTTTCAATTTCCCTAGCATTAACCATTGGTGGGGGTTCATCCTCGAAAGGATCTGGTGAGTACCACTCCTCCATTATGTCATCGTCTAGGAGCAACGGCTCCTCTGACACCACCTTTTTCTGCTTCAGTGTTGAATATAGGTATAGTGAATT